AGATAGCTGTGGCAGAATGTCTTCATGCATGCGCCCTGCTAAACCACACCTCCTTTCTCCTTAACCTAAACTGCAGAATTATCATTGTTTGTTTTAATCGACGACCCTCTCGAGGAGTCGGCAGTATATTCTTTCAACTATTGCGGCTGATGGCGAATGTATAGACCACTGCAATGGTGTTCAACATTTTGAAAATGCGGTCTTAAGACGAATGAGATAGCTAGAGCAAGAATACGGTCACATTCAACACGACATGCTCCCTCTCTCTCGCCGTCTTTGCACACGGAGTTTTAGGTGTTATATGCGTAAAAATTTCCGTTTCTTTGAATCTTGGTGAGGTTATTTCGGGGATTTTGTCGTTTATTTGAATTCTAATCGAATAGCTCCATGTAATCTATCTCCGTAATTCGATTATGTTATTTTTTATCGGTTTTTAAGTTCTTTTCGCAATTCCATTAGATTAGTATCGAGTTTTCAAGAGGCAAGAGGCTAGTATGGCAGTGATTATCGTTTGCGTGATTATAAATGATTTTCGAGTTTAGTTCAGTACGTCATATTCATGCTTACCTTCCCTATGTATCGACTGAATATTTTATCTTCGTCAAGTTGGATGAGTGATCGTCGTAGTATCATATTTTTGGATGTGGTCATGTGTACCGTCATTGCGAAAATCATTTAGTTGACTCGCTTTCACTTTTTTTAATCGCATATGGATATTAAAGACCATAATCAGTAAATTTTGAAATTCTCCCTCTGCAGAAAACATGGGAGCCTATAAGTATATGCAAGAAATATGGCGCAAGAAGCAGTCGGACGTGATGCGTTATTTGTTACGTATTCGTTGTTGGCAGTACCGTCAACTATCGGCTGTGCATCGTGTCTCAAGGCCAACCCGTCCGGAAAAGGCTCGTCGATTGGGGTACCGTGCTAAACAAGGTGACTCATTGGTTCTTTATCATATCTTTAGCTTCTTTCCATTCCCCTCTTGGCTTACGTAGGCTACTTAGGTGTTTGATGATCTGCCTCACCAGTATAATGCGCATTCTCTAATCTTTAACAGAGTTTTACTGAATTTTTTTACAGATTTCAGTTTTACTGAGCATTTATTGATGAGCGGCGATAACGTTTCGCCACTTTTGAAATAGAATCGTGAGATATGTTTATGATCAGCTTGATTATGATTTCTGTGTATGCTCAAGGAAGCGACTTTATCTGTTCGTTTCTCCAGGTTTTGTTATCTATCGTGTACGAGTTCGCAGAGGTGGTCGTAAGCGTCAAGTGATCAAAGGCCAAACCTATGGTAAACCCAAAACTCATGGTGTTAACCAGTTGAAACCCGTGCGCAATAAGCAGTCAGTTGCTGAGGTTTGTCTTACAATTANAACACTTGTCCATCGTTTGCTGTCGTAATTAAGCGGTGATCTCAGAATGTTAAGCTGTTCGTTCGGCTGAATTGTTTGTCAAAAGCTCGTCGTTGAACATTTTTTATTATCTACTGCTTTGAATTGAACTGGTGTAAGTCATTGGTATTTGGAGATCAAGTTGTTGTTTTTATCTGAGAACTATGCATGGACCTATTAGAATAGCCAATCGTATAAATGAACATGTTTTCATTGTTAATAACACGTACTATGAAACAATTAAGAAATGTAACGGTAACGAATTAGTTCTTCATGCGATTAATTTTACTAACTGAAAAATTGCTGCAGGAACGTGTTGGTCGTCGATGTGGTGGACTCCGTGTGATGAATTCTTATTGGGTGGGCCAAGACTCGACCTATAAATTTTACGAGGTCATTCTGGTTGATCCTTCTCACAAGGTACTCTCATTGCTTGTATACCATTGTTTATGTTCAACTTGTTCCATGTGCCTCATTGCTGTAGTGGAATTCTTTCGCTGCCGTTCACGTCGCATTCATGTTTCATTAGGATGTGTCAAGAACAAAGTCACATTTCATAGATGAGCAGATGCGGACGTTTTGAATTATTTGTAAAATTCGAATGCTCGTTGAGTGGTGCAGATAGTGGTTGTTTGTGCCTCCATCCCTCAACATCATACTTGTTTAATTTTGACTTAAAATAGCTTGTTATTGTGAATTTATCCTATGATAACTGAATTGTTCCACTCGCATACGGATTCTTTTTGTGTTTGTAGAAATTCTTGTACTGAATATTAGAATTTATCGTAGGTAGGCAGTTACGTGAATGTGCTGGATATGTTATGATTATTTAATCGATTTCATCGTTTGGTTATTTTGAGGCGATTCGACGTCACGCAGACACACAATGGTTGACTAAGCCAGTGCACAAGCATCGTGAATTACGTGGTCTAACGTCGGCTGGTCGTAAGAGTCGTGGTCTTGGTAAGGGACATCGTCATGCAGCCACCACAGGTGGATCACGCAAAAAGAATTGGTTACGTCGCAATACACTGTCACTTCGTCGTAAGCGTTAAGAAGCATTACGGCTACAACAACAACAACAGTAAAAATATCGATAAATTGGCTGTTATAATTTCTATTTATCAATCAGTCAATTGTTTCAGTGTTGTTTTCATAAAAAGTTTTTGTTTTGTTATGAATTGATTTGTGAGAGTTATGTTGTGAAGTGAAAGCAGTTGTTGGTTATTATAATAGTGGATTGGATAAAAGAGGTATGGCATTGATTGTTTATTTGTTTGTTTTTGAGTTGTTGAGATGTTAATTGAGTTGACTGTTCAGCTCATCAGATTGATGTATAATAAATGTTTCGCTGTTGAACATTCATTATTCTTCACTTTATGCATAAATGACAACAAAAGAGCATCTAGTTTGAGTTCTGAACGACACGTTTCTCCGGCCCAGATTGACCTCAGTTGGCTTATTCACTGTATCCTGTAAACTTTGAAATAGACGTTGCGAGAGTGTCTCACTGGATGTGAATAGTGATTATTTTATTATATCAACTGTGCATGGAGTTGGCAATGTCAAGCTGAACGTAAATAAGCAATAGCTTGTAATATAAGTCTGCAAGTAGTCGCCTAGGAATAGTATATCATTTATTCGCATATTGGATATTGATAAGCAAATAATGGCGACAAAAATGATGAGTGTCACAGGTTTTAGCTGCTTCGAGGGGTTACCGTCGATAAATGCAAGTCTCGTATAGCAATAATTAGCTAGTCATTACATTAAAGTAGATGGCAACAAAACAGTCAAGTTGTTTCGTATGTATTCCTCCTTTCCTTAAATTTCCGCTTCTGCTAAGGATAATTTTAGTCAAGTTCACCGGTTCTCATTAGTTTATTAATTCGTTTAGAACACTTCTCAAATTAGTAACGTATTGAGGTCATGTGGGAAATTTAGCGGAAGTGAATGAATTAAGAGAATTATTCTAGCAATATCTGTATATAGATATTGGACTGAAACAACGTTCGAATGATCTTGAAAATACTGGATGTTGACGATGAAATTAGTTGATTAGTAGCGGCTTCTCACTGAAACTTCCAGCTAATAATTAAGTACCTGAGTGGGTCTAAACGACTCGAGAAACTCGTTCCAGTGCTTCTTTTCGTGGTGAGACAAAACCGAGACGTGTATTTCCCAGTTTTCCTCAATATATTTGTCTCCGATAATGCTGCATTGTTTCTGGTCATAAATTTGCTTTAAAGGAATCCCGGAGAGTAATTCTGCTCCTGAAGTGATACGGTAGTTTGCGATAGAGTAATCTGTCTTGAGATGCTGAATTATTTTCACAGCGACAGGCCTATAGAATTTTTTGGCGATGAAATATTGGTACACAC